AAAAAAAATCCTTGGCTAGTTAAAAAATAAAAATAACAATATAATCTACCACTAGGTTGATCTTTTCTGGGCATTTGATTTCCTCAAATCCACTATCCTCAGGGTCCTTCGCCTAACAAACAGTAATCTCTGGAGTTTTACTGAAAGGAGTCATAACACTGATAACCAGAGCCATTCTTCACATCTTTCTTCGCGTACATTTTTTAATTTTCATGACATCTCAGTTTTTATGCTGCATTTTTTTTCTTAATCTGAATATCTCTCTACCAATATAAACTGCTGACTTTTGTCAGATTCTATAATCTTGACACTGTTTTATGGCTTTCCTGAAACTCCGTGATGAAATGTGTTCTCAGCCTGCTTGTTGACTTAACTATTGGCCAAACTCTGGCAAAACTGGCAAAACAAACTTCACCGTGTATCCATCACAACATTGTTCTAAATTTTATCTATCCAGGCTGGTTGCATTTTTCATGCTTTATCACAGATCAGTGTCACTAGATGGATTGCAGTTTGCAGGTGCAGTTGTTCATAGGAGTTAACTTGGCTGTCAGGGCAGCCCTTTTGCAGAGTTTGAAGCTTTCGGAATATTCTTGCATGAAACCGAAGAATTTTTCCAGCCAGTTGGTGGATCAATACACGTGTCATTAGAACATAAGGAACAAGACTGTACTGGCCTTTTGAGTTTGATGTGGGATATGTGCCATCCCAGCCTTCATACATTTTAAAAGCGCCTCCCTAGAAGCGAGCAGAGTACGGAACGACTCGAATCCTCAGCTCTAAAAACATTTCGCTTCTGTTTCAGATCATCCTGCAAACCTTCAGAACCACTCGAGGCTCCGAACGCCGCCACCTCCAATATCCCACGCTCACACCCCAAGCCAGCATCACGCGGCCTCCATCAACTCCCTGAACAGAGGGAACTTCACGCCACGCAGCAACCCCAGCCCAGCGCCTACTGACCACTCTCTTTCTGGAGAACAACCAGCCGGCACCCAGGAGCCAGCCCATGCTCAGGACAACTGGTTACTTAACAGCAACATCCCGCTGGAGACTAGGTAGGTCGTTTCCTTGAGCTCTTCACAGTGCTCTGATTTTGTGTGCTGGGGATGTGATGGAAAATGTGTACGTCTGTTTAGCTAGCATTTCAGTCTGCGCACTGATGTTTAGCTGATGTATTTTGATTTGAATATGTTTTTCCTTGTGTCTTTTTATTTAGGCTAAGTGAAGAGGAAATTGCTCAGCTTTCATAAACTGAAAATATTGGTTTTAACAGCTGTTTGTAAGGTTATTTTCTTCATTTAAAATTGGAACCAAGATCATAGATTAAAATGTTCAACCAAGATCATAGTTTAAAATGTTCTTGGTGTTCTTCTTTTTTTTTTCCTTTAATATCTTTTCTTCCTATGTGGTAGCATAAATCAATATCCTATTTAAGAAGTTGAAATCAGTCAATGTATTGAAGAGATTTAGCCTTCTCGCTTCACCTCATCAAGCAGATACTTTTGTAGGACATCATTCAGCAAAGGTTGATCCTGTATGTCCTAACAAGAGAGGTGTGTTGCTGCATTTTACTCTCCTACAACGTTGCCCCAGCAAGCATACAACACGAGAGCAGGGTAAAAATCAATGAATAATGTTCTGTTCATCTCTAAAGCTTCTTCCCACATATGCAACCACTCACTCTGCCAGGAACAAGCATCACGGAGTTGTTCTACTTCATAATGTTGTTTAGCTCTTTCTCCAAATGCGTCGGTTGGGGGGAAGGTGGCGCTTATGATCCCTTGGCCTCAATCCTCCCATCTCGTTGTGAGTGCATCCACTTGCTGCTGTTTGACTTGAAACTCTGCTTTTCTGTTCTCTATCTCCTGCCTCATCTTTGCTACTCGTTAGCACCCGTAATCCACCTCTTCCAGCTTTGGGAGATGTCTTTGAGGCCTAACATGCTACACTTATTTGTTTGCCTTAGCTCTCTCATTTGTCTTACCTTTTCAAGTCAACAAGAAAGAATTTTGAGAGTAAAAAACATTTACTAATTGAAAACAGAGCCAGGGGCTAAATTTGTCACTTCACTCTAGTGGGAATCTCGCTGAGGTCCGTGGTAGCTGGATGCCTGTATCCAGGGACAAAATGTGCCCAATTTTGCCAGCTTCTCCTAAGAAAACAGTCTTTAAAAATGAATGTGTCTATTGATCTGTTTGAGAGGGAGCCGAGTTTGCTGGCCCCCAGAAACCAGCAAAGCAGGCCTCAATGTAACATTTTCTGGCATTTAAGGATAATTAATTTCTCTGAAACTGCTTGATTAAAAATAACAACAACAACAACACAAAAATAACTAAGAAGCTGGCTCCAAAAGATTAGGACAAAATTATAAGCTAGTACAGCAAGTGTGATTTGGCAACAGTTTCAGTAATTACATTGTGTTACTAATTCTTAAGCATACGTACTCAAGCAGTGACTTTCATTTTGGTGTCAAAAAAAAAAAAAAAAAAAGAATATTTAGGGCCCAGTCCTTTTATGATTTTTGCACTATAATTCTGGAGGAGGCCCACAGCTATAACAGCCACAGATAAATCTTGCTCCTTTACAATCTTTCCTTGTAACACCTAGACGATGCACCTTTTCTAAAGCAAGGTGTAAATTTTTAGTGTTCAAACACCCCCACATCTGGTTGGATTTTCTCAGCACAATTTACCGCCTTAGAATAAGAAGGAAGAACCTGCTGGATGGACCAATGGAGATAAAAACACTTTGCTAAAAACATCCTGTCCCCATTTGTCCAGTTTTGGTAGCCATCTGGCAGCCAGAGAGTCATCTCACCAAACTGTAAGAAAGAAAGGGGCTTATAGAACAATTATTTATTTGGCTAGTTCTGGACTGCTTCTACTAAACTGTAACCAAGTACATCTCTAAAGACTGTCTACTTCTGTTTCACCAAATCAGTGCGGATGAAATCTTTTCCAGATAGGAAGTAGCTGGTTCTTTTTGCAAGTTGGGTTGATGATATTATTACTCTTAACCAGACTGGTTAAGACGGACATTTGAAGTCTGCGTAGATGAAGAAATTCTTCTGCATCATTCAGGGCATTCACAGGGATCAGAAATTGAAAACATTTGTAATTGATCCTCAGTTTAATCATTTTATTTATTACCAGAGGTATAAAACATTTGGAGACTAATCTTGTGGCTTTTGACATGCGGGTGTGAATGGCACCACATTGTCACATGTACCCGCAAACAAAGAACATGTACCCGCAAACAAAGAACATATTGGAAAAAAATGTGTAATTTTATGCTAAACAGCAAAGCTGCACATTTACCAAACATCACTGACAGGCTTTTGTTCCTTCACTAAGCAAACATTAAGAAAGTAATACACGTTATAATGGAGTCATAATGCGAAGAGACTGCGCTGCATGGATGATAAATGGTAAATCTCTGACAAATCTCTGCTCTAATAACCCGCTCTTCTGAAAAGCACAGATCTTCCATTTCCTTCTGTGGGAATTCTGTAGACATAAAAGATGGGGTTTGGTGTCTGCTTAGCAAACTTGGATGCCCAAATCCACCAGTTCTATGGAATAGAGCTGCCCCACCAGAACAGAGTTGCCCCATTCGGTTCTTTTTGTAGGACCCAAAATGACCTTGGCCTAAAATGACCAAATGTAAAAATAAATCCTAGTCAAGAGACGTTAATCCAAGAATTAAGGCCTTTGAAGTATAGCAATAGGAGATTATAGTAATCTCATGTCAAAAATGGAATAGTTGAATTTCGTTTTTTTAAAATACTATATTGACTAACAGAGTGAGAAAACATGAAGAAAAAGCCATGCCTTTTAAACAGGGACCATCACAAGGTGCCTTCAGTGATAGATTTTAGGCATCCCAGAGTGTGATGAGGTTACTGACGTGGACTCCAGGCAGTATTCAGAATGGAGGATTTTAGTGTAATGCAAAGGCAAGTCAAAAGGTGTAGCACAAATGCACAACTAATGTGACAGCCATATCCCACATCTATGAGAATGTATATGTTGCAGGAAAAGCCCCTTCTCTCCTTTTATCTCTCCTCTTCATTTATTTCCCTTTACCCCCTTTTCTCTGTTTCTCCCTCTTCCTTTTTCTTTCCCTGCTCTGCTCCCATTTCTGCTGCCTTAATGCACTGTTTTATCAAAGTTGTGATGAAAACATCTTTGCTGAGCAATCCCTCCTGACAGGTAAGTCAGTCCTCCCCATATTTATTTCTCTCTCCTTTCTTTCTGTGGCTCCCTTTCCATTCCTCTACACTTGACCTTGCAGGGAGTCCATAAATGCCAACCAGATGGACATTTGGTTGACAACCAGTAGTTTTCAGCACACCTTTACTCCAGGAAATTTCACATGGTAATCATGTCAGGTCAGGTATTGCCACCACAACTCATGTCAAGAAAAGTGGTTTGTAAACAGCTATTCCCAGGTAATGTTCAAGGGGGCAAAACCTACCCAGCCTTCCTCGAGGACAGGGATTCAGTGGTCACCGCAGTGACCCAGTGACTGCACTGCTACAAATGCATCCATTAAAACATTGTATGAGCCTCTCTCCTGCTTTATCGACGATCCACAACTGAAATGCATGGAACCAGTTCGACATGGATTTTAACTGCTGATGAACTTTTATTGATTAGCGTTGCTGGGTGCCTGGCCTCTTAGCCAATAAATGCTCAGCGCATGCACCTACGTTGCTTCTTTTTGTATTGAATTCAACATCCAACCTTCCCTGCATTCCTAGGGAATGTGAGGAAGCAGCAAACACTTGGGGATGGATTGATGTCTCAAGTGCTATGGCACACAGCTCGTGCATGTCGATTCCCTTTGCTCCAAAGCTATGAATATGAATCCCTTTTACTCTCCCTCAGATCTAGGAGTAGCTCTGGGTTGTCAAAGCAGCCCAGAGCCAACAAAAGCAGAGGGCTGCACTAAACAAGCCCTGGCATTAGCAACAGGAAGAGGAGGATGTGGAGATGAAAATTAAGGTTAAGAACATTTTAAAAGAGACAGTATCAGGGTCCATATAATATGACAAGGGTGCTTTCCCTTGGTATAATGTTACCTGAATCCAGTTTCTTTGACAAGGGAGTTTCGTCTGAGTTGACATTATGTCACTTATATCCTGTAAGCGCTTAATCCTGAAAAGTGATAAACTGTCCTAACACTGTTATTTTCCTGTTGCTAGTTTTGGCCAGGGAATTTACTCAGATTCAGGTTTAGATTCAGTTTTGATGTTGAAAACAGACATGGGCAGAATCTGGACTGTTTTTTGTTAAAAAAAAAAAAGGATTTTCTTTTGCCTGGTCTTGAGAAACAAGCCTGAAGGTGAGAAAGACATGATCTGTTCCCAGCTGTGCCTCTGACTTTATTTATGCGCCTGCTATTCTCCTTAAAAAGTACAAAGCAGTTTAGCATATACGGGTCAAAAAGGGACTCATCAAAGCACATGCAGGAGAGGTCAGATATTGCATAAAACCACTATTGTGTGCAAAATCCAAACCAGGCTTTTTCACATGCAGGCGCTGTGTCTAGCCTATTGCCTATCTTATCCAGACCACAGCCACTGCCCTGCTATTGGAATGTGGGTTTATAACATAACTTTATTTTTTTCCAGCTTCTGCCTGTGTGTCCTTGAGAAACTTTTTATTTGGAGTATTCACATTGATGAAAACTTGCATTTTGAAACTTCTAAATATCAAACTGTCATTGTTCCACAACGAAAAACAAATTAATCAAATTCCTAATTAAAGGATTCCCCAGGGCAGACTGGAACTTAAAAGAGTGAGTGGCAGATTTTATCATCAGGATGAGCTGTTTGCTAGAGGTCCACGACGCCGTTAGCTGGAACTGGAACCAAGGCAGCGGCCTCAGTGGGATGCTGTGATGTGCCTTTTCAGGGCAACAATAACACAGATGCTGAAGATTAACAAGGTTGCAGCTGGGCTCTGTTGAAATCTGCTGTTTTGAATCCAGCAGTTCAGAAGGTTTCATTTGTCACTGGCGATAAATAATGTGAAATGAACAAAGGCATCAACATTTTTTATACATGCACATGGGCTTGTGTGCTTATATGTGTGTATATGCATATATAGAGTGTATATGTAGAGAAGTGAGCATTCTTAAAAGCTATATATGTATATGTGTAGTGTCTTATACATATAAATATATGGTCCATCATTCTAATTCCATGCACAACTGCACTATAACCATTGTGGTTTATAAGATCACACTTCATATATGCATGACTCACTGGCTTCATTCATGTTTCCATATGTATGTAGAAACATAGCAAAGCAGACATTCCTAGAGACATTGCAGGACAACCTCATTGAGATGGACATTCTCACCTCCTCCCGACATGACGGTGCTTACAATGATGGGTATGTGACACTTCTGTGGTCTTCCTGTTTATGTTCAGTCATTATGATCCTTGCATGAAAGCATCTGGTCATATCAGTGATGTGTAGGGGCAACACCATTGCTGGCCCCTTCCAGAGTGTTTTTTTTTTTTTTTTTTTTTCAAAAAGAAAAGAAAAAGAGATTCTTCAGCTTGGAGCACTGTGCCCTGTAAATATTAATGGTAGACTCATTAATATGAGGGTGATCCACAGCATTCCATTTGCTTTTTTCCCTGATTTTGAAAATCATTTCACTAATAATAAGCACTTACAGCAATTTAGAATACTGTATAGAGTAAGATTAATTTCATTTTGATAAAGACCTTAAGCTATTTTTATGCCAGCTGCCTGATACTTACTGTTAAACCAATATACTTCAGGTACATTATCTCCCAAAAGATCCAAAGCGTCTTCTAATACTAGTGGTTTATCTCTTTAAAGCCGAGCCTTTGATCTTGACTCAATCACCCATTCTGATATCTTTACTTAACTTTTGATCGCTTAACTTTTAAGTTATAAACACCTTCTAAAACGATGCTTAGTGCCCAAAACATGGACCTTGTATTGGCATTTTCTAATTTGATAATCATCATCAGCTGAAGATTAAGTGGTGTCCTTGAACACTGTTGGTACGTCTTTGCTTGGGCCAGATATTTCTGTAGCTAAATAAATACTTTCTAAAACACAGAACAAGAACTGAATCCTTGTAAAAATGAATGTTTTGATGAGAGCATAGTGGAAATAATGAATCTTTCTCTAATGCTCAACAGTCATGCTAAGAGTGCAAATAAAACCATGGCTGTAATACTATAAATACTTATTTCAGAGACTTCCATGTCACTTGATGTTGCATGAATTATTAGTTAGTTTTTTTGCATGTTGATGTTTCTGCATGCAGCATTTGCCCCTGTTACTGTACAAGTGACTTTAACAGGGAGATAGAGTCAAGTCTTCACCTGGTATAATCCACGGCTTGACTGGCTCCCAGCGATCCATGCCCGTTTATGCAGGCTGAGTATCTGGCCCCTAAAAGCACGGCAGAAGATACTAACAGTCCTGGGGATGCTGATCAGCCCTCACAAGCACAAGGACTTCTGTTTGCCATTGGCATGGTGATCCGAGAGTCAGCTCCATTTCCCAAGTCTCACTCCTAGAATTCGAATGCTTTGCACTTCGTGAGAAGTGTCCCACCAAAATTCAGCTTTTCATTTAAGGATTCCCATGGAAAGGTCTCCCATTGACACATTTCTGTTTAAGGAACTCATGGACTGCAGTGGGCTTTTTTTTCCCTGGCTTTCATGAGACTCAAACAAGGTCCTCGTGGGCTGGCTCACAAGCTGCATTTTTAGTAATGAGCAAATATTGCGTCTTCCAATGTGTCACTGGATGGGATACACTGCCACTGACCATAATTCACACTTTTAGAGGTAGGCATCAAGCTCAAGTGCTCTGAACTGCCATCCTGGTGTCTCTCCCCACTCGCTCTATGCAACTTGAACTCCAAGCTTTGCTGGCCTTGGCCACACTATTGTCCTTAAACTCAAATTCTTAAATTTGCCAGGAGGAGACAGTGTGAATATTCCCCTCCATGACACTTGGGGTGCTATGGAATGGCTTAAGCTCTCTTTCCCCATCTCCATTCAGCATTTCTATATATAAAAAGAAAAAAGAAAAAAAAAAAAAAAAACCAACCCCACTATCATGCAGTGATCGATATAGCGAGTTAGATGAATGTCCTCTCTTCCTGAGTCCAACCACATCCGAGCCCAGGGTGTCTCAGGGACCATGAGCAGGCCCTCAGTAGCGCCCGTGCCACCAGTGTGTCCCTGTTGTACTTGGGATATCCATTTCACCATAAAGTCAGCTTTTCCACAGAGGTGACGGCTGCCCGCGAAGAGCTCCCTGTGGCATTGCTAGCACTGTGACTTCTTTAGTTCTATTTTCCTTTAACCCGTGTGACTTGCCTGTGTTTTTTGACTCTTCTCTTCTGTGCATGCCATCCATGTTCTGAGCCAGCGTTGTGTGGAGCTGCTGTCCTCGTCCCGGCAGCCGTCGCCATCCTGTCACCCCTGCGTCTCCTGCCGCTCGCAGCGTCCCAAGGAGTCACCCGCTCTTGGTCTTTCTTCCCCCAGGCACTTCCTGTTCAAACCTGGAGGCACTTCTCCCCTTTTTTGTACCACGTCGCCGGGATATCCCTTGACGTCCAGCACTGTGTACTCACCTCCCCCTAGGCCCCTGCCCAGGAGCACGTTCTCCAGGCCTGCCTTTAACCTGAAGAAACCCTACAAGTACTGTAACTGGAAATGCGCTGCGCTCAGCGCCATCGTCATCTCCGTCACGCTGGTGATCCTGCTGGCGTATTTTATAGGTAAGCTGGTTTCGTTTCTCTGCTTTTTTATATCTCCTTCATCTGCAGACCCCACCCCATAAAGCTAATGTTTGGGGGACAGGTTGGCAGTAGTCGTAGTGGCTTGGAAATAAGGTGTATGTTGACATAACTGAGGTGAAAGACCTAGTACTTGTAGTGGAGGCAGAAGTAAAACATGCCATGGGGTGCTCTGATTAAACAACACACACTGCCTACTTTCTGAAGAGAAAAGGGCACCATGAAGTGCAATGTGAAGACAAGCCCACCATTTTCTCAATGTTTTCTCAAAGCTGCCCTTTGAAACAACCATCCAAGCGCATGTCCTAAACATGGCCCCATCCAGGGCAGATGGACTTCCGTCCTGTGGGCTTCAGTGGAAGAACCAGGGCCAGAACCAGAATCTGGATGCGAAAAGTGTCCTTTTCTTCTGTGTCTTGGGGACACATCCTAGCCATTGAAGCATTTGTGTTGAAGTTCACAGAGTAACCTGAAGGGATAGGGAGGACTGTGTTTAGATCATGGCCCAGAAGCGTCTTACAATAAGAGAGATTTTGGAAAATTTGCTGTTAGGGTGGAGCACCAGTGGGATTTCTGCTTGAACTGAGTATGATTCGACTTTCATTGGTTTCTAGTGGTTGCCAGTTTTCGCTGCAGGAGTAATTGAACTGTTAAGGGTGAAAATTGCATTTTGCACCCTTTAACGTGGGGGTGGTGCCCTTTTTCTTCAGTGATGTTTGATATTTGTGTTACGAATATCCTATCGAGGTCCATTCCTAAAAGCCCTATTCCAAACTGCCAGTGGTGCAGGCTCTAATGGTCCCAGGCTTACAGATACGAGCGCAGGTAGAAGTGCCCATTTCACACCACACAAGCGAGGCTTTGATTTTACGGTGGCTTCCTGTGCACTAATGATCTATAAAAGCTTGCGGTTAGAATTACAAATCCTAGCCTGGACCGAAGGATTTTTGCTTTCATTCCACATGAGTATAATTAGCACTACCACCAAGGCTTGCTTAGACTGTGTTCCTTTTATGTGTGTTTCTTTAACGACTGATGCTTTTCCACTTCTGGCTTGCCTCATACTTTGGTCACTTCCATGCCTCCCATAAGAGGAGCAGGAGTGATTAATTAATCTGTGTTAAATCAGCAGCAGTTTGATTGAGTACGCAGTCAATTTTCATCATTTGTTATGTACATTTGGACCTGCCTTTCTCATTTGTCTGGTATTCTCTTTATGCCCCAAACATGATTCCTTTGGACATTATCTCTAGGTATCAGAGCAGTCTCTTTATAACACAGGATAGTTCTGTCTGGTAATTCTGACTGAGCAGGTTTGTGCTATTTGATAGATTAAGAAGACTTTGATTTCCCACTTAGTATTCTCCTACTCAAAAACCTTTTCAGAGTCCTGAAATGATCAGGTTCCTTTTCAAAATCACCATTAATGTGCTTAAAAGGTAGGTCTATTAAATGCTCTCCCATCCTTTTTTTCTTTCTCTTTTTTTTCTCCATTCAGATGAATACCGTGGCATCTGCCAGACTCTAAGGATGGCTGGCAAGATGCCAGAAGTGTTGATCAGGTTGAACTGCTGTAATTATGGGTCATAATTACTAATTTCTAAAGGAACTATCAATTATTAAAAATCAAATTTGATGGTTGCGCTCAGCATAAACATATTTAACAAAGATTGTCTCTACCAGACCCAGTATTCTAATCAACAAGCAAAAAGACAGATATTTAATTAGATTTTGATGAAAAATTGTGTTTAATTTCAAGTATAATCAATTATTAATTACTGTAATGAGTGACTCTGGTGGGGTTCACTAATTAACTCATTTAAAAATTATGAATAACCTTTTCATTTGTAATTATTTTCTACATCCTGTCAAGTTGCAGATGAGAATTGTATCACCTACACCCCCCCCCAAAAAAAAAATCAGAGAGCCAAAATGTTTGTTCTTTTACTAAGTAAGTTATGCATTACCAGGTTATATACATTTTGTATATCAAGTAAGTTAGATATAATAAAGAAAGCTATTAAGTTATGCTGAGAAATTTTGTGTATCAGACTAGACGGAGTAATAAAAACTACTGAGTTCTTAACAGGAATTCGTTCATTCTTCTAAATAACCTGATTTGTTTGCAAAGCAAGTGGTTATGTGCCCTCCAGATTTTGATTCTTTTATATATGCTCATTTACACTTTTTTTTACAACCTCTCCCCGGTTGAATAAAACCCAGCTCCTTTTGGTGCCATTGGGAGAGTTTGAGTAGCAAGGTACAACAGATCACGACTAAGAAGTTTTAGCCTGTGTTACCCCTTGTGAATGCTGCGTACTTGGCTACTTTCCACCTGCTCATTAGTTAAAATAACCACAGAAATTATCTTTTTAATGATCATTGACATTCTCCAAAGCAAACTGAGGCCCCTGGAAACACTCCCATTTAAGTGAATGGCCTTTGGATCAGGTCCCACGGCAGTGGTTTGGCAATTATCCCTTATTTTTTTACACTAATCAGTTAAAACAAATACTTCAAACAAGTTTGCATGTCTTTAAAATGCTCTTCACAGCATCAATCACACCAGAGTCCTCCATTTACATACTAAATCTACCCTTAGCAGGGTTATGCTTTAGATTAGCAGGCTTAGGGTTCTCTAACTCCACAAGAGGGGCAAATTGGGGACATCAGGAAGACCCCGGGGGACTCTGTCATTGCCACTTCTGTGTGTGTGGCAGATGCTGACACCCAAGTGGGGGGCAGAGCAGCATGGAAGCAAAGAGGAATTTGGCCATTTCTCACGTTCTTTGCTGAAGCCACTTTGTTTTTGAAGTTCAGCTGAAGCACTCGCTGAATCGTTTGTTCAAGGCTAAAAGCCAAAGAGCTTCTCTACGTTTTTCCATTATTTTATGAAAGATTTCATGGTGTTTAATAGCCTGCCCTTTCTTTATCTCACTGGGCTTTTTCAAAGAAGAAGAGAGGTGACAGAAATAGAAGTCCACGGTAGCTGAGCGGCTGGTGTCGTGTGTCGACGCTGCAATCAAGCTGAACATGTCACAGGGCTGAGTCACTGGTCTTGAGAGATAATGGCAAACAAAATATAGCAGTGTATTAAGCACCAGAAGCTGCGTTTCACTTGAATTAATCAGCTTTTGGCAGACTTGTTGCTGCTTTTTCAAATATTCGGAGGCAGAGGCGACAATGAACATCAAAGTTTTGCCTGCGTGTAGCTTATGCAAAGCTCCAGCTTGCGAGCTCCACAGACACTTGTCTCCCAGGGTGAGAACCAAAGAGAAAAGCAGTGGCAGATCAGGGCTGTAACATTAAAACTGCAAGAACGGCACCCTTGGAACCAATAAAATGAAAGGCCTCTTTACTACCCTGCTAATTTGCTCTTGCAGGAGATCATGAGGAGACATCACTTCAAATTAAATTGCCCTTTTTAGGGTTCTCCGTTCCACTAGACAAGAAACCTTTGCATGGATTTTGCTGGAGTGGGAGTGTTGTGCATGCCATGGTGAGATCCTTACGGCAGAGGTAATGCCACAACATCCCTCACTACCCAAACACTTTGCTAATAGAGCATCTTCTGAGCGTAGAAATAGAAAAGATCAGATCTGCATGCCCAGCAGCTGTTTGGCTAGCTTCTTGGAATGGTTTCTAAAGGAATTACAGATGGAGAAGAGTTGCTTTCTTCTGAAAGGGAAAGTATTACGCAGCGCCTGATGTCGATAGCAGATTAGATGCAAGTACAACTGGATGCTGTTACGCACTTGCAGCTTTCCTGTGCTTAAGCGTGCGCTGCGGTTGCACTGCATGAACGGAAAGAGAGATGTGCATTTGATTTGAATTAAAGCTAGGGCTGGAAAACATATTACAAAGCCAAAACAGTCGTTCCTTTGATCGGAGTCAGAGCTCTCCCTCTCTTGGCTCTCCATTTGTTTGAACTCGTTACAGTCGCAGCTTCGCTTAAAGAACGGCGGTGCTTGCTACAGGCAAAATGCTTTGACACAAGAGCTTTGCTAGGACTATGATGTGTTTATAAAGTGTCTTTATTGTCTAAAGATCACCCTGACAGCTAACTTTAGCTCAGCTTCTCCAGGACTCTTCAGCACTATGTAGTAAACGAAATTCAAAGCAGCTCTCCAAAGCTCGCAGCTGTCTAACTGGTTAGCTGTGCATGCGTAACCTACCAATTACCATGGCATTTACAAGCCACCTGAGATCTACAGCAAAGGCTTTCATTCCTTCATTCTGAGGCTTTGTCTATATTTATTAATCATACACTTATACCTTAATATTAGGGTTTTTATTCAACTTAAAATGTAAAGCAATCTTTCTACCCTGCAAAGAAGTTTCTTCCATTTTCTTTTTTTCTGATCCAAGATTTTGCTACTGCTATCGTTTTGTTGTTTTGATTTAGAGACCTTTTTTCTTTTTATTTCCATCTTATCTTAGATAAAATGCAGAAACAGTGGCTAAACAGTCTGTTCCAGCAAAACCTTCACGTTATGAAGTCAGCCTGTCACCTAAAGAGGAGCTTCCAGCTCCCTTCTTGGTTCTTTCGCATCTTTGCTAAATTACTGCACGCAGTTCAGTCAATAACTTTGTGCCTCAGTTGCATCTTCACCTTTGCACTTAATGTGCAAAACAGAGAGATGCAGTTTGAAAAGTACAGCAGTTTTATCAGCAAGGCTTTCTACATCCAAATAGATGTTTGTGAAACTTAACATGCCAGGATTCTGGTCTTATGTTTTATGGTAATGCTTCAATATATGTCTTTTGTTTTTCTCTTAAAGCTGGCTCCAGCTGTGCTAAGGACGTACAAACATAGTGTCACTCATAGACTTATAGTTTAAAAGGGATCCAGCTCTTTCACTCCAGCTTTTCTTCTTCATTTTGGAGTGGATTACCATACCATCTCTCATTGATATAGTTTATAAAAAAAAATTAACTCTTAATTTGCAGTGTTTTTTGAAAGATACGGGCCTTATTCTTGT